ACTATGCAGATGGCCGGCATTTACAACCAAGTTGGATTTGTCTCCGCTCTCAATGCTCACGGCCAAGTTGGCAGTGTTAAATGTGCTAGAAGTTGCTTTGTTTCGATGGCTTTTGATTGTGGTATTCAGCCATGTCACCAGCATTACTCCTGCATAATCGATGGCTTGGCAAGAGCTGGTTACATCGACAATGCAAGAGAACTCATCGGAAACATGCCATTTGTTCCCACTTCTTTGGATTGGCTGTGCCTTTTAGCTGCATGTCGGAGCCTCGAGTGTGGAACCTGCGTATCAAAATGGGTGTCTGGAATTGCGAGCAGCAGAGCTATGTATCCTCCCTTGGCAAATGTATGGGCTTGGCATTGATAGAATCTAAGGAAAAAAAAACTGCTGCCTGGATTATGCTGTCAAATTGCTCGAGAATTTAAGACTAGAAGTACCAATTGCTCATGCGACTGGATTCTTGATGTTCCCATGAAGCATCGATGCTTCATGGGAAAAAAACAAATCATTTGTCTATATAACACCCAACATTCCCAGGATCTGAGCGTGGACCTCCTGGACCAAATCACCAGGGTGAGAGATCGCGAGCAACTTCAATCAAACAGATACCTTGCAATACCTAGCGATTGAGGTATGTGGAAAGCATATTTGCATTTGAACGGGTATGATTAATAAAAAACGCCGTTTAAAACGTGCATATAATATGGCGTTTAAAATGGCGTTTAAACACCAAGAATATTTTTAAAAACCCTAAAGAATATGCTTTCTTTTACTTAGGATTTAGGGTTCACGTAAAATCAGGGTTTGCGGGATCCGGAAGCGTTGAGGTAAGTCTGGGATGGGGGGAGGAAGGCAGCCATGCTGGAGCTGGGCTTATGTTCTATCGACATCCGAGACAAGCCACGGGGTGAGTCCATGGAAGTGTAAGTATTGCTCAAATACTTACACCGGCACGGCTGAACGAGTTTATGTTCACCTTGGGGGTATGAAAGGAAGGAATGTAGAGATTTGTATAGGACAGGTGCCACTGGAGGTGGTGAACAAGGCTCGGGCATCTTTTAATTGTGTGGAGCTCACAAAGAGCTCCATGATTGCAGCAAGTCCCCAAGAGAGACTTGCCTTAGCTCACGAGATTGAGGTCAGTGAGGTGAGCGGTGGTGCCAGCTGCGGGGCAAGTGGTGGGGCTACTGGAGGGCTGGGTGAGGTGAGCAGCGGCAGTGTTCCACTTTCTGGGAGCAGCAGTCTTAAACGAAGTGCTGCACCGGCGCTGGATGGTGACATTCAAAAGATGATGAAGTCTGCAAAGGTTCAATGTCTGGATGATGCCGTGGCCGAGTTCTTCTATGTTGAAAATATCCCTTTCAACACCATTCGGAGGCCAAATCTGAGGAAGTTGCTTCAAGCTGCTATTGACTTCAGCCCTAGAGCTCTTGCACAGATGATGGGATATGAGAAGCTACGGAGTACACAACTGAAGAAGCTTTATGATAGTGTCAATGCTCGACTTGATCCAATCCATGAGGGGTGGAGAAGATATGGAGTTAGTATCGTCACCGATGGCTGGTCTAACAACCGTAGCCGATCCTTGATCAACTTCATGGCCTCCAACGTCCAGGGTTCGGTTTTCTTGAAGTCTATAAATTCCGAGGGCAGGACAAAGACGGGAGAGTGGATTTGGGTTGAGCTGAAGAAAGTGATTCAAGAAGTTGGCGAAAAAAACATTGTTCAGGTGATCACTGACAATGCATCAAACTGTGTGCAAATGGGAGAACTCATGACAGCTGAGTATCCTCACATTCTCCACAGCTAGTGTGTGTGCCACGTCTTGGACCTTCTCTTTGAAGACATTGGGAGCTTGTCATGGGTAAAACCACTGGTGAAAGGCTGCAACGAGGTGGTAACTTTTATCACCAAAAAACCTCATGTTCTGGCTTTGTTTCGGAAGCTGAGCAATGGAGATCTCATCAAGCCGGCGAGCACAAGGCTCGCTTACATGTTTCTAGTGATGTCTCAGCTCCTAAATCTGACGACCTTGGAGGCATTGAAGGAGATGGTTGTGAGCTCCGAGTGGCGGCGATTGGACGTCACGAAGACCGCCAAAGCCCAGTGCATTCAAACTCAGATCTTAGAAGAGACTCCTAACTCTTTCTGGACTAGGTGCCAGCACTTGTTGGTGCTGCTTGGACTGCTCCTCAAGGTCTTGAAGCTTGCGGACCGGGAGGGGGCAACGTCCAGTCTTATTTTCGAGGCTATGGACTGGATGAATGAGAAGCTTTCAGAGGCTGTTGAGACTGGGATTTTAGCCGAGGAAGAGGTCAAGGAGATCAACAGGTTCATGATGGAGGATCATGGCAAGGGAGGTTGGAAAGCAGCTTGTTGTTCCAGATGCATTCGATCTTGCATGGAGTTGCTTTTGTTCTGAACCCAACTTTTCTTCATCTCCCTCTCGACCAGGAGGCTTAGGAAGATTTTGTGGAGTACCTAGAGTTGTATTGCAAAGGAGATTGAGGACTTCAACACAAGCTGCTGCACGAGTTTCAGAGTTTCCGTCAACAACTTGGCCATTTGTTCTCTTCGGAGGCAGCAAAGCAGGTGCGTATAAACTGTTTGTTTGTCAACTTTTTAAACTGATTCTCTTGTATAGATGGAGAACTGGAAACACCCGGTGAGTTGGTGGAGCAACTTTGGTGTAGGCACACTAGAACTTCAAAGGCTTGCTTTATGGATCTTGAGTCAGCTAGTTTGTGCTTCACTATGTGAGCGAAACTGGAGCTCATGGAGCATGATCTAGACGAAGAGGAAGTCTCGACTGCTCTCCAAAAACTTGGAGAAGCTGGTTTTTGTGCACACAAATATGCATGTCATACAGAAGATCGAGTCCGGGAGTTTGAGGCTTATTGAGCATGATCTTGATAACCTTGAGCTTGAGCCTCAGTGGCAAAGGATCCTTGCACTTCAAGAGGTTGTTGAAGAACCTCTTCAACAACCTGATGATGACAGTGCTAGTGGTGATGATGTTCTAGATTCGGAGGATGAAGATTAGATTAAACCTATATTATATTATGTTAAACTTTGTTTAGTAACAATTAATTATTTTTTAATTATATTAAAACTGAAAACCATTATACCCGTTCAAAAAAAAGCTAGACAGGTATTAAACATTCGATACCCGTTTGAATCCGGTTTTGTTCGAATGTTTGGATGCAAGTATGGTGGAAAGTGCAGTAGGCGAAAATTGTGTTTGATGATCTGCTGAGGTGTTTGATTCTATGCGAATGTTCTCAAAACTCTTCATCGAAAACTATCAAACGACCAATGTTTAATGCCTGACGACGACCATGATAGGTACTAAGAAAGCAAATATTCCTTTGCCCCACGATGCTCACACAAAGCTCTTCGGAGCGATGGAGATGGAACGATGCCCTCGTCAAGGCAGCGTGGGGCTGCCTTCTTTGCAATTGACACTCCAGCCGACTCGATCCAACGCCTTGGACTCCTCCAAATCGTCTGGTGCTTGTATCCGGCCTAGTCTCGTTGCGATTAAGTCAATGCAAGTGCTACGTCCATATCACCCATGTTTTGTATACACTTC